CTCTACCGCTATTAACACTCTTTTTTCCTTTATACGTTTAAGCCATTCCGGCTTCATTGTAAAATGAATAAAGCCTAAATTCTTGGTTCATTCGTCTTTTCACTCATCGTTCTAAGACTCAATCACCTTCGTAACAATTTATTCATTTTACAATATTCATGGAACGATTTTTCCGACCTGATCGGTTCGACGTAGAACCTAACGCAGTTGGAGCTGCCAAGAAGTGGGATCACTGGTTTGCGACTTTTTCCTACTTCATTGAATCAATGGGATCCGAAAATCCTTCGAAACTACATATTCTCTTCAATCATATTTCTACTTCTGTATACGAATGCATTTCTGAATGCAAAACATACGAAGAAGCTATCGACACTCTCAAGAGTCTCTACATGCAGCCTTGCAACGAAGTGTTTGCTCGACACTTGTTAGCAACGTGTAAACAAGAATCTGGCGAAAATCTGGATCAGTTTGTTCGTCGACTCAAGTCGCTGACTACAGATTGTTCATTCAGGGCAGTTACAGCCGAAGAACATCGTAACGAATCTCTACGTGATTCATTCATCTCAGGTATACAGTCTTCGATGATACGCCAGAGGCTATTAGAACAGCGTACTTTAACTTTTCAAGCGGCATACGATCAAGCACGAGCTCTAGAGATGGCACATCAACAATCGCAGTCATACAACAATCCTGTTACACCTTGCGCGTCCATTTCTTTACATGATGTACCTCATTCATCAGATTCCACACCCTCCGTCAATGAAACAACCATTGCTGCCGTTGAATCCAAATGCTTTTTCTGTGGTAATCGTAGACATCCTCGTTCCAAATGCCCCGCCCGTGATGCAGTTTGCAAAGCTTGTGGCAAGCAAGGACATTTTCAGAAGGTTTGCAGGTCTGCGCCATCTACGAAAAAAGGTCCATCTTCAGTTAACTCTATAATTTCATCTCTCGTTGTGGCTTCAGCACCTCAAAGTCTCACTGATGCTGTTACGCAGCTTACTGTCAATGGGAAATCAATGCAAGCTCTAGTGGATACCGGAAGCAGTGAGAGCTACATCTCTTCCTCAGTTGTTCGTAAGTATAACTGGAAAGTCCATAAGTCTCGAAACAGAATCACAATGGCGAGTACGAATCTTACTAGTCATACTGAAGGACATTGTTTTCTATCCATCTGCTATAAAAACCACACTTATGATCTATTCAAATTTTCCATTCTTCATAATTTATGTGCAGACGTCCTTCTTGGACATGATTTTTTAAAACTTCACAAACACATTGAGATTCCTTTTGGGGGATCAAAGCCGCCTTTTTCTCTCTGTGGTCTACCTTGTGTTCGCGTCGACCTGCCTACTCTGTTTGAAAATCTTTCAAAAGACTGTAAACCGATCGCGATAAAATCCCGGCGTTATTCTCGTGAAGATGAAAGTTTTATTTCCACCGAAGTCAACCGGTTACTGCAAGAAGGTGTTATTGAACCTTCTAATTCTCCTTGGCGAGCTCAAGTTCTTGTTACGTCAAACGAACGCCATAAAAAGAGGATGGTAGTTGATTATAGTCAGACAATCAATCGATTCACTTTTCTGGATGCTTACCCATTACCTAGGATTGACGAAATGATAGAAAAAATCGCACAATATGACATATTCAGCACTCTTGATCTGAAGAATGCTTATCATCAAATTGCCCTAAGGAACGAAGATAAACCATATACTGCTTTCGAGGCTTGTGGGAAACTTTACCAATTTTGCCGAATTCCTTTTGGTGTTACCAATGGCGTAGCTTGTTTTCAACGCATTATCGATGAATTGATCAGTAAAGAACAACTCACAAGCACGTTTGCCTACATTGACAATGTCACTATCTGCGGCAAAACTCAGGAGGAACACGACAAAAATCTAAACAAGTTTATGGTAGCAGCACGCAATTATGGAATAACCCTTAATGATTCCAAAAGTGTGATCTCAAGCAGAAGCATACAATTACTCGGTTATGAAGTTTCAAAGGGGTTATTAAACCAGATCCCGATCGGCTAAAACCTCTTCGTGATCTAGAACCACCCACAGATATCAAATCTCAACAACGGGCCGTTGGATTATTTGCTTATTATTCACAGTGGATCCCTCGCTTCTCAGATAAAATCCACCCATTGGTAAATAATCGGATTTTCCCTCTTGATATCGAAACTCGAAATGCTTTTGACAAACTGAAAGACGACTTAGAACGTGCAGTCGTTGTGGTAGTTGATCCGAAAGCACCCCTTGTTGTTGAAACAGATGCTTCAGATGTCTCAATTGCAGCTACATTAAACCAGAATGGTAAACCTGTCGCCTTCTTTTCTCGAAGCCTCTCTCGAAGTGAGAAACATCATTCATCGGTTGAGAAAGAAGCCTATGCCGTGGTTGAAGCAATTCGTAAGTGGAAGCATTACCTTCTCGGAAATCACTTCAAACTTGTCACTGATCAACGTTCAGTAGCATTCATGTTTGACAAGATTCATAAAGGCAAAATCAAGAACGATAAAATAATGCGTTGGAGAATTGAGCTATCCCCTTATCAATATGACATCATTTATCGTCCTGGAAGGGATAATCAAGCTGCTGATACATTTTCCCGTAGTTTCTGCGGTTCCTTGCAGTCAGTGTGCGACTTGAAATTTCTCCATGACTCTATGTGCCATCCTGGAGTTGTCCGAATGATGCATTTTGTACGCTCGAGAAACCTTCCATTCTCCCTTGACGAGGTGCGCAATGTAACCAGTAAATGCGTGACATGCTGTGAGTTAAAGCCTCAATTTTACAATCCCTCTAATTTCAAACTCATAAAAGCAACCCAACCTTTTGAAAGGTTAAGCATCGACTTTAAAGGACCTCTACCGTCAGCTAGCCGCAATCACTATCTGCTCACGCTGATCGATGAATATTCTCGATTCCCCTTTGCATTCGCCTGCCCCGACATGTCGTCTCAAACGGTAATGAATTGCCTTTGCCAACTGTTTTCGATTTTCGGTATGCCTTCTTACATACATACCGACAGAGGCGCTGCTTTCATGTCTACCGAATTACGGGCATTTCTTCTGGAGAAAGGCGTAGCAACCAGTCGTACTACCTCATACAATCCTCAAGCCAATGGGCAGGTCGAGCGCCTCAATGGAACACTTTGGCGTGCCATCACTCTAGCATTAAGATCACGGGGCCTACCAACGGCACAATGGGAGTCTGTTCTACTCGACGCCTTGCATTCCATCAGATCTTTGCTCTGTACTGCAACGAACGCCACGCCACACGAACGACTGTTTACCTATAACCGAAGATCGACATCTGGGACAACTCTTCCTACTTGGCTCACTGTACCAGGACCAGTACTTCTCCGGCGGAGTGTTCGTCAGTCCAAATTCGATCCCCTGGTTGAAGAGGTGGAGCTATTGAATTGTAACCCGCAATTCGCTCACGTTCGCTTCGGTAATGGACGTGAAGATACAGTTGCTCTTCATCATCTGGCACCCAAAGGCGAAGATATAGATCAAGTTGAAAATTCAATACCGGAGGGCGACGCAATTCCTGAGCAACAAGTAAATGGGGATGCGACCACTGATCCTAATATTCTTCGTGAAGAAAATACAACTGAAACGAACAACGGGCGTATTCTTTTGGAAAAACAACAACGTGTACGGCCTTACAATTTGCGTACCAGAGAAGCGTGACATAATGGCTCATTCCTTTTCAAGCCGCAGTGAATGTTGTGAACTTTTCTTATAATACGTATCTAGTCATATTCATATCTCTACCGCTATTAACACTCTTTTTTTCCTTTATATGTTTAAGCCATTCCGGCTTCATTGTAAAATGAATAAAGCCTAAATTCTTGGTTCATTCGTCTTTTCAAGATTCAAGCATCACTCATCGTTCTAAGACTCAGTCACCTTCGTAACATAACTCATTGGGCGAATACAACATTAAAAACATAAAATAACGAATAACATCCTACGCATAACGGTCCAGCTGTAATAGGCCATAACTAACAGCATACTAGTCGTGAGAACATTGTGTTACAGGTTTGCTCAAGAGATGACATCAGTTAAAGAACCATTGGAAGACCTGCAGGGAGTACTGCCAGACAGGTATTTCGTCACACTAGTTTCGGATTATTCATTCAACAGCACGCACCCACCGTCAGGATTCGAACCCAGGACCTTCCCGTTACAAGACAAGCTAGCTCGTAGACCATTCCCAGCCACTGGGATCCGATCCAATGGCCAGCTCATGAATCCCAGTTTCTGTCTATTTGTGGGTGTCCACTAAGTCAAGCAAAAGATCAGTTAATCGACCATAGTATATACATATATATATATATATGTACCGCAACGGACGGCCAATGTCGTCGGCGAGTAACTTACTTCTTGACTGAATTAATGCACTCTAGTGAGTAGACAGGAGCTGGAATTCATGGGCTGGCCATTGGACCGGATCCCAGTGGCTGAGAATGGTCTACGAGCTAGCTTGTCTCGGTAACCAGAAGGTCCTGGACTCGAATCTTGGCGGGGGGTGCATACTGATGGAGGGTAGGAAACTAGGAAGAAACAACTATCAATGAGCAGTCAAACATTTAAAAGCTGCAATAGACATTAGACCAAACAATATTTTTTCAAGAGTTTTTTTGTACGGGATTTTATTTGTTTTTCGAGTTTGACCAAGGATGGATATCAGTTAGAAAACCAAGGAGTGCTGGACTGGATATGTGCGTTTTGTCCTAGTACGGCAGTCCACACCTACCACCAAGGTTCCAACACAGGACCTACCGGTGGTAGCTATACAAGGCAAGCTAGCTTGTAGATCATTCACAATTCAACAATAATCATCTTGGAGACGATGATGATGTCTCCAGTAAGTAAGTGTACATCAAGACAGCAATTTTAACAAGGACAACTCCATAAAATGGGAAAATATTTCACTCCAAAATAAATGATAATAAGCAAGTAACAGAAATATGGTTTAACTTACTTGTGTACAATGATAGCCATCGGAGCATGCTGCTCCACTGAAACCTTCTTGATTCGAGGCTTCAGCACCACCAACAGCAACACTGGCACCGACACCTCCACCGGCTGAGACATCACTTCGTGGTCGATTTTTAAAAGTGGGATCATGTACACCACTGCCACCAGAAGTGGAATCAGGATTCGGGAGAGCAGAAGCACCATCCGATGTAGAAGCTTTATTCTTATTAATTGTACAAACATTTGGTATTCTTTGCCATACTTTAATAGTATCATCTCTTAAACCACTAACAATTTTATGCTTATCATATTGAAGGCAATAAACACCTTTTGTAACATCACTTCGACACGGGATCCGGGTTAAGTGATATTGACCTCTAGTCCAGTTATCTTCTACACGCTGTAAAAACAATGTGAGAAATTTATGAAAACATAAAAAAATAAGAAGAATCAAGCAAGTTATTAAAACTACAAGTTCATAGCGAGAAGCCTAACTGTGGTAGTAAACATTCATTCGATATTTGTTGTAAAGATCGTTACGAAGGCTACGTCACTACGGCTCGATAATCTCTACATCAACGCAGCTAGGTGGGGGCTTACGGCGAGTTGTCATCTGAACTGGTGACAACTAGTGGTGTCCGTCAGGGATGCCAACTCAATATCCCCATTTCTATTCTATCTCATCATAGATGTACTAATGGACTTAACCCTAACTCACTTCAGAGACACAGGGATTGACTTTCTACCAGGGAATAATCTCGTTGACTTAGAATATGCAGATGATGTAGCCCTTGTAGGCGAGGACGCTGACAAAATACAGTCTCCTGAACACCTTGAGCTGCAATCTAAGAATGTTTAGTATGCGATTCTCTCCCGCCAAATGCAAGATGATGTTACAGGACTGGACTATACCGACTCTTAGATTAGAAATAGGGAGTGAAGTGGTAGAGCACGCTGACCGCTTCACTTATTTGGGAACTACCATCAGCCAACGCCAACGGGTTGATGCCTGGCGAAATCTCAGCACGGATACAGAGGCCTAGCTTCCCATATGCCAGTTTACGGTGTCTCTGGTTTAGTAGACGTGATACCCGGCTGGTTGTCGACCAAAAGGCGTATGTACTGCTCAGCAGTCCGCTCCGTCCCCCTTTATGGCTGTGAGTGAGAGATGGCCATTGAGAGTGGAATCAACAAGGCTGTAAAATTACATCGATTGAGATGGTTAGGACATGTGTTACGTATGTCTAGCCTAGTCATCGCCTTCCTCGACAATGGGCAATGTTAGCTGACATAGGGTCAGACTGGAAAAGAGCTAGCGGAGGTCAAGCAAAAACATGGAACCAGTCAATGAAATCTACAACAGTTAGTTTAAGCCAGCCGCGTAGGAAGGTGTAGACTTCCTGACTGGTTGGGGTCCTCGAGACGGTAAAAACCAATGGTTGGAAACAGTTGGTGGTATAGCTGAAAATCGTTCTCAATGGCTGGCGAAGATGCACCCACTCCTTGTGACTTATGATTCCCAATTAAACTATATTGTTCTTCGTTATTACTCTTCCTTTGTCTCACACCTCTGTTTACTGTCTCTATTATGCATTTCTTCTACTTTCTTGTGTTGCTTTGTGTGCTACATGGAGTGTGGCGACTCGAACTGCTGCACATCGGTGCAAATTTCTAGATCGGAAACAGACAGACAGATATCACCGTAATTAGCTGTCACGTACAAAAAGTGACGGCATGGACAACATAACATGCGATTATTTATCAACTGTAAATACACAATTTTGCCGGCAAGTGAATTTACTCCCACTGGCGTGTCTACACATTATTCAGTGTTTGGTAAGCGTGTCACGAAAACCATTTGTAAAAAGACACGACAAGCAGTTTAGCGAAAGGGCTCTTTTCGGTCAATTCATTTTCCCCTTAAGCTGTACAATCGCATTTATACACAACTGTTTTTTTTACGCAGAAGAGAATAGTACCAAAAGTGATGACCTGTGCGTCGGTGGTATAGCGGTTAGGACTCTCGCCGACCATGCACATGGTCCGGGGTTCGAGCCCACGCCGGCGCACACTTGATATCTATGGTCGGCCTGCAAAATTTGGGCTACCGATATCCATGCTGAAAATTCCATACTTGTACCAAAAGTACGGTGTGGAATCAAGCTGTAAATCAAAAATAAAAAAATAAAAAAAAACATATAGCTGCTAAATATTAGTCACTGCATAAGAGAAGTTGAATAAGTATATTGTAGTTACGTCATCTTTGAGAATGATTTTCATGAGTTGGTGTTCTCCAGCCGAAAATTGGTCTGAAAAAGTTTTAAGGACAAGACCTCACATCTAACAACCAACTTCTATTTGCATATATCAGTTCACCCGTTGCTGTGGAGCCACGTACAAATTGGTCGTTCGACGCGTATCTTGTCCAAAAAGACTCAAGAAAACTATCCCGCATGGCTACAAAAAGGTAATAGTAGAGGATGTATAAGGAGTGAGATAATAGAACATCTCATCAACAGTGTTCATTCATAGCTCAATAAACGCCATCTTCGAAGTAGTTTACACAGTGAAGAAGGACCTATCAAAAGCGATACGCTTTTCTCTCCTGTGAATTGCTGAAGGTTTATAAACATTCATTTAGAGAAACCGGAGCGATGAGAACAAAATAAAATTATTCAACCACTTCTCCTATCATGGTTATGTGGTTAGTGTTACCGATACGGTTTATCAGTAGTATATAAAGAGAAGTTCATCGGCATAAAAGCATCAAATATCAAGGAGATAAATCTGATGCAAGAGAAGACAAATAGTACAGCGTTGTGGAGATACATGGGAGAAGACGCGGAAGCAACACAAAGAAACACAATATGAAAGTCAGAAGTAACACAACACGAATGCAAATTGTGCGTTGAAGATAAGGTGTACATAATTTGTCTATATGGAGATACCGATTTGCAAATAAACATTCCTTTAACCAAGTCTCTCGTCTTCTAATGTTACAGTGACAACAGCGTTGACTCCTACTGACAGGACTTTTGTTTGTTTGTTTTCCTGACTACTTTAGAACTCTTAAATTATTCTATATTTTCCTTCGTTTCTATGTTCATCCTGAATAGAACTCATTCACTAACTTACTCACCCAATCCTGTCTGTCTGTCTGGTTTCAACATAGAACTCTGTACCGATGTGCAGCAGTTCGAGTCGCCACACTCTATGTAGCACACAAAGCAACACAAGAAAGTAGAAGAAATGCATAATAGAGACAGTAAACAGAGGTGTGAGACAAAGGAAGAGTAATAACGAAGAACAATATAGTTTAATTGGGAATCATAAGTCACAAGGAGTGGGTGCATCTTCGCCAGCCATTGAGAACGATTTTCAGCTATACCACCAACTGTTTCCAACCATTGGTTTTTACCGTCTCGAGGACCCCAACCAGTCAGGAAGTCTACACCTTCCTACGCGGCTGGCTTAAACTAACTGTTGTAGATTTCATTGACTGGTTCCATGTTTTCGCTTGACCTCCGCTAGCTCTTTTCCAGTCTGACCCTATGTCAGCTAACATTGCCCATTGTCGAGGAAGGTGATGGCCAGGCATATGTAAGTCACCCAATGGTGTAACCCAAATACACTTACTCAACTCCGTTTACGAATTGACTAATATTTCACAAACTATGTTTGTGACAACTCTTCATCACTTTTATTTAGTACTCTCTTTTATGAAAGGTAATAGTGTATAAAAATGCGACTGTAGAGCTAAAGGGGAAAATGAATTCACCCACAAGAGCCTCTTCACTGAACTACTTGTCTTCTTCTTTTATTAATGTCTGGATGGGAATTTTTCATGAAATAAAACTACTTGTAAGAGACTACTACAAAACTTTCATCACATCAACAGATGCCCCATTTCGCTGGCCCCATACTGAAGATCAAATGGCCAGCTATAAAGGTTGAGCAACAAGAAAGTCTGGGAACGAGCCAACCAAGAGCCTATTGTTACACAAATATGCAGAAGGAAATGGAGGTTGACTGGACTAGATGCTAAGGAGACCGCTGAGTGACATCGCACGCCATCCATTCTGCCAGGAGAAACCCGGACTGAATACGAGTTAGGACTCCGAAGGTAACATGCAGGAAATCATATGAGGAGGAAATAAAGGCTTACAGGCAGTGATGGAATGAGCCAGAAAAGATACTAGAGCATAGGATACAACGAAGATGTTCTGCTGAATGTTACACGCTTACAGAATAAATAATAAACACATCTGAGGCACTATTACCGATTTCGAGCCATAAAATCAAGAGTTTCCAGTCACCAATGCTTAACACATCAAAGACACAAGATAGGAAATTCACACCATCCTACATAGCTGAGAACAACATGCGGCAGCATCATGTTTTAGTTTGACCAACCATGTTTCCTTACTAGAGATCAATCTTATTTTAGACAACATGCTTAATCAATGTGATAGTTAACAAACTTATCAACTAACTTAACCTAAAATCCTACGTCGAAATATCAGCACTACTCATACTCACTCCATGATTACATCTCACGTAAACAATGGGAAGAAAATATTAGTATCAACATACTTCTTATCTTTCCGTATATTTTGGCTTTTGCTGATTTTACAACAATAAAGTAGAGCAGAGTACAGAACGGACACTCATTGTCTTAAGTATCGTAATAACAAAGTTGGCGGGAGTTGGCGACTACCAAGCGAGATTTTTTAGTAATCAGTCTAGGAGAGCTTATGAGAATGATCCCTAAGAGTGATTTGGTCACCGTATTCAACCATTTCACAGTTAAAACTCACATTAAATAAAAATGTCATCATGAGGATCGATGGTAGAAATTTCAGTGATAACTACCATCCCCACCCCACCCCAGGACTCCACACATTATGCATGAGAGTACCACAAGAAACCTGCATTTATCACCTCTTGGACGTTCGCTTAGTGTAATGTAAGAGGAGGGAATGAACAAAAACAATATATAGTGTCGTGCATTATATCGAATAGGGCTATAGAGTGAGTGAATGAGTAGGTGAGAGGGTGAAAGAGATTAATTCATTCCTTCAGTCTTTATTTTGAGATGCGGGCGGCAGTAGAAAAGTTGTAACTGGGACATAATTACAACCTAACCAATCGAAAAAAAATTGGTTGCGGGGTTTCGTCATGAGTTGACATTGGTTGTAGAACCATTGGAAAACCTGGGAGTACTGGACAGCTGTTTCGTCCCAGTTTTGGACTCTTCAGCAGTACGCACCCACCGGGATTCGAACCCAGGACCTTCTGGTTACAAGGCGAGCTTGTATACGATTAAGCCACTGGGACCCGATCCAATGGTCCTTGAATTCCAACTTCCGCCAACTCACGACATAGCGCGACCGCCAGCCAATGTCTTCGGCGAGTGTTTGTCTTCACACCCGACCTGCTGCACCCTACTGGTCACGACTTCCCACTGGTATCCCAGGTAACTACCTACCTGAATAGGGCCAGTCGCCAGTGAGCATCTCAATTATATTCCAGTGTTGGTTCGGTCTACGAGCTCACCTTGTAACCAGAAGGTCCTGGGTTCGAACCCCGGTGGGTACGTACTGCTGAAGAATCCCAAACTAGGACGAAACAGATGTCCAGTACTCCCAGGTTTTCCAATGGTTCTCTAACCAATATCAGTTCATGATGAAGCCCTGTAACCAATCAACCAAATCCCTACAAACCAATGCTCGAAAAAAAATGGCGAGAAGATTCAGTTGCCGAAAATAGATCTTTTATGTACCAGGCTACCAGTAAAACTTATTGAATGACGGTGATGACCAGACTGAAGTCTGCAGAATGGAACCAACACGTCGGATCCACTGGCTAGTACTCCAGCCGACGGGCCACCAGAAAAAGTGGCGATTTTCTACATACACAAAATCAAACTTTATTTCCAGCATAATGAAGTACCGTGGAATTCGTTTATAAACTTAATTGTTTCAGGTAAGAGTGCACTCACAAAGTGTAGAGAATATTGTAACAAGTAACAACCCTAAGGTGGCTTATCCCGACCGATATAACTGCTGCCTTGACGTGGTAGTCAGGCGTCCATATTGCAGTGATAGCGATCAGGCGAAGATCTAAGATGTTTACATTATGCTGTAGGTGTCTGTGGGCAAAGTTGTACTCATGGAGAACACGGAAGTAACAGCAGTAAAGTGTCTCCCTCAGATGAACAGCATACTAACTACGCTAGAAAAGGTTAACCCCAAAAACTGTACATCCCAACTCACCCTACGGTGGTCCGTAGCCGTGTGTGACCGGCTTCAAGCAGTTGCCTCCTGGGTTCTAGGCACTGCAGTCATGCAACACTAGTTCTCTTTCTGTCTGAGGTACCTCAAGAAAAAATCAATTTACACAGAGTGGTCAGTCAGGAAGTAACAACCACACACACACTTAAAAAACCACACGAAACCCACTTATAAGACGAGTCAAAAAAAGTCAAAATACTCTTTCTAAACTGTTGACTTTAAAAAAATAATAATAATAAAATTAATATCCAGAGAGACTTACCGCAATGTCACGAATTATGCGTGGATACAGCTGCTTATAGAAACGATGAGCAAACATCACAGTTTCATAGGATAAGGCATCATGTAAATCAGTTTCCATGGTGATGGATGAATTTGTATTCGTGAATCGATGACTTGAACCACTGTCATTGGAATTGTAGGGAATTAAAGAACAGCTTGGTGTGTTGATGTTGTTATGGCTGTTGCTATTGCTGCCGCTACTGCCAGGAGGAGCATCGTGAATGGTATCTCTTGAAAAAGAGACACTTTGTGTTCTTGATATGTGATGAGTATGTGATGAATCAGAAGGATATACTACAGGATGTTGATTGTTTAAATGACATTGACAGGCTAGAGGATGTTGATGTTGTTGTTGTTGCTGCTGGTGATTTGCACTACTGCTACCACTACTAGTTGAATCTAACTTTGGAGAAAGTTTAGACGCTTCACACTCTATACATGAACTATTACTATCAAGGAATGGAGAGAATTCTGTTAATTTATGTCTAACACCTATAGGAACTCGACGTCTTTCAAGCAATGCTGGTAAATAAGCTGGATCAGAATGATCAATAAACTCAATCCATCCACGACGTTCACATAGACCATGCCATACTGGATCTGTGGCTACGCGACGAGCTAGAAGACGTCGCCAAAGTTGATATTTTGCTACACTCCATTGCCATCCCCTAGAAGCAAGTTCAACTGAAAGTAGACTGGATGCATCTAATTGGACTAAAATCATTTCAGCGAGATATGGAACTCCACGATCTAAAGGAATTGAAATGAAACTATAAACAATCGATAGAAAATATGCATTTTCAGGAGAGAAAAAAAGAGTATACCTACCAATAGTACTGTATTAACGTATTTATTTTAACTCTAATAGTGTGAATGAAAGTCATATTTACACAAGCGAACTTCAATTAACATTACATGATATCGATAATGTGAAGGTGGGCCACCAAGCTTACAAATCATAGTCAAACACTATTCGTCATGGTTGACAGTAGCTCAGAGAAAAAGAAACACAGTCAATTTGTAAACTGGTAACACAAAATGCAGAGTAGTTATAATCAAATTGAAAAGAGCTAGTGACGGGCAAACCAAAACATGGCACCAGTCAATGAAATCTACAATAGTTAGTCTAACCGACGTAGGAAGGTGAAGACTTCCAGATTGGTTGGGGTCCTTGAGACGGTAAAAACCGATGATGACTGGAAACAATTGGTGATATGGCTCAAAATCACTCTCAATGGCTAACGCAGATGCATCCACTCCTTGTGACTTATGATTCCCAATGAAACTCTCATCTGATTACGTAATCTTTGTCTTTAACCTCACCCTCCCTTTTATAATCTGTAATTTTGCTTGTCTCTTGTTTCTCTGATTTGAGCTCAACTCAGTACATTGTTACCTAACTTACTAGTCACTATGCATCTAACGCACATCTCATCTTTATTACGTAACTCCTTTACCATTTTCTGCACACATTTATTTTGTTTTAACTTGAACTGCCTGTGTGAAAACTATATAAGCGCAATCTTCTGAGCACTGTTTACTAATTGTGGAATTTTCTGTCAACTGACATGTAAAATTTGCAAGTATGTTAAAACATGTCTGTACTTAAACCTCATAATTTATTTAGGCTGTAAGCAGCTGATGAGAAGCCAACGAAATAAATGATGGTACCACATTATTCTGCTAAAACTGTAGTTCTTGCTTTGTTCAAACTATACTGTTCTTCGTTATTACTCTTCCTTTGTCTCACACCTCTGTTTACTGTCTCTATTATGCATTTCTTCTACTTTCTTGTGTTGCTTTGTGTGCTACAAGGAGGGAGTGTGGCGACTCGAACTGTCGCACATCGGTGCAAAGTTCTGTGTCGAAAACAGACAGACAGAAATCCATTCATCAGTTAGACTAACAAGAGATCAATAACTGAGTTTCTCCTAACATTAACCTACAACTCAGCCATCACAAACATGTTTTTATCCACTGGGTTATGAACCACTTAAAAAGAGTTCAGAATTTGCTACTTAATTAACAGTTTGTAATTTATTCGGTTCAATGTGAGATTTCAGTATACTTTCCCTTTTTATTCCTTTATGTTCACAGTGGAACACAGAGCGTCAAGCTAGAGATTTGAACTTTCGGTAGCTGTGGTGTTTATTTATTTTTACGGAATGGGGTTGCTAGCTTCATGCTCAAACCTTTTCTCTTTACCAGTCGTATTACTGGCTTATCGAGGTAAAGGAATGCGTCCGTGGCCGAGGATCGAACCCCGGACCAAAGGAGGCGTAGTCGGCGAGCATTTTACCGCTGTACCAAGGACGCACCATACTTTCCTTAAGAAATCAAAATTAGTCATTCAAATCACAATATATGCGACCAATCTGCTTGATACCAGAATAAATGGTAAGCAAGAAAGTGTCAGACTTCAGACTTAATCCAACTGATTGGTTGAAATGAGCAGCTGTACATCACACATCAACTAGTAGTAACATGGCTGACCAGGTAAATCGAAGTGATCTAAACGCCGGACGGCAGTTTTACACGTTTGCAACCGAGTTCATCGGCGATGTACCCGGTTTCACTCAGCTCAAAGAACAGAATCAGTCCACAACACCCGATTCCTCGCTGGCTGGTTAGCTAGCTAGCTATTTGGGCGAACTGATAACACTTTAAATCAAAGTTGCAAACCGGGTACAGTGCTGATAAGCTTGGCCTCAAACGAGAGTATCAGCCGTCCAGTGTTTATACCACTGCGATCCGGTTAACAAGCACTTCTCGCTGATATCTGCAATATACAAATATTCAATCTCAATCAGTAGAATATAGTTCTACGGATTGACTAACTGACTGGTTCCCAGATCTGCACCACTTCGAGATGCCATACTCAAGGTACCACACAAAGCAAGAGAATAAAGTTATGAGAGATAATAAACAGTTGTCTTTAGTCTTCATTGGTTCTTACCATTCAGAGGATCCCAACCAGTCACACAGCCAGTCTACACCTTTCAACGTGACTGGCTGACTCAAACTAACTGTTATGGGTTTCACTGACTGATTGCGTGTTTTAGTTTGGCCACCACCAGTTAGGTCTTTCCCAACCTCATCAAACCTATGCCAGCCAGCATCGCCAGTTGTCGATGAAGACGATGGCTGAGAATGCGTAACGCATATCCTGACACTCAACACCTAACCTCAATATTCCTCACTCTTTTATACCACCTAACACGGGAGATAGAACACAGACACCTACGATCAAAGGAAGCTAGCTGGCCTTTTCATATCTTCCACTTTCAGCCATGAAGGAGGACAAAGCAGTGTGCACACCCTTTAGTCCACAACCAGCCGGATATCACTTCTACTAACCCAGAGATGGCGTTAGTTGGAATACACCAAACAAGCCTCCTGTATCCGTGCTGAGATTTTGTCAGTGATTAACCCGCTGGCGTTGGCTGATGCAACTTAACAAACAAGTGAAGTGGTCAATATGCTCTACCACTTCACTCCTGCCTAGCTTTGGAACTGGGAAACAATGCAGTCCATTCCCGTAGCATCATCTTACATCTGACGGGAACAAATCGCATTCCAAACACTCGCAGGTTGCTGATCAAGGTGTTCAGAAGACTCTGCATTTTGTCAGTTTAACGCATTCAGGTTATGAGCCACCTTACATTCGAATAACCCTGAGTTAACAAGTTTTTCACATCTGTTCGGGGGTAGGAGGGGTAGGCAGGGGGTAACTGTCATTTGATTTTGTGTGAGACATCTCATCAATAATATTTTATTACCAATATTACGACTACTAACAACCCAGACGACTATGATTCTATAACCTGCAGAGAAAAACATCACCTGACGATGGTAACTATGAATACGCCAACCTTCAATCAAACTTTTAAATGTAATCAGTAAAGCTATTAGACATAAAATGCTCATATTTACTGCTCTATGATGTATTAAACAGTGTGTTCAAAAACAGCTAATTACAACATTAGGAAAGATAAAAAATGATTTAACTGTTGGTTTGCAGGAATTAGATTGGTTACAGGATTCCATCATGAACCGACACTGGTTAGAAAACTATTGGAAAACCTACCTGGGAGTACTGGGCAGCTGTTTCATCCTGGTTTGGGACTCCTCATAGTAGGCGCCCACTGAGGCCCAAACCCAGGGCTTTCTGGTTATAAAGACAGCTCGTAGACCACAAGATTTTAACGTTATCAGCAAGAAATTACTCTGTCAATTGACTCTTATTAGTAAAGTACACGTATCTATACAAATATTCCTTAAAATAGAATTTATTAACATGTATCATTGCATGGAGACGGGTAAGACATATGCTGAGATGCTTGCGTGATATTACACTCCAGACACCAGCCCTCCAATGGGACCCCCTAAGTGAGAAACGATGAGAGGGAGATCCGAAGGTGATAAAAAGGATGTTGTGTGAGGAGATGGAAACTTATGAGCGATTGTCTAGCCGGATAAAAAAATAGTAGAGCATAGGATGAAACGGAGATTTGCTCTTGAAGCCCTATGTTTCACTTGGAGCCTAAGGAAATAATGATAATAATATTATAACAGCGTATACAGCACTGTTAATACAAGTGCTGATATGGCAAATACTGTCAAATAGAGCTAGATTCATTCAACAAATAGTAGTATTTGTAACGCACCAGCTTACGTAGCCTGTATATTAGGCAATTATGGTCAGTATTCTTCAAGGTATTTGCGTCACAAATCAATTTTTGTCAAGTGGTGGTTTGCAGACCGAAAGCTGCTAGCTTGACGTGGTGGTCGGGCTTGAACGCCGCGATTACCCAATCAAGCTATACTGGCTGAGACTTATGTCTCTTGAGGTCCTACCATGCCAGAAAGGTTGTTTGGATAGCGGTTAGACAGAAAGCAGCTACCCAATCCGATACTATGATTCAAACAAATTTACAAAATATCATGCCGGATCGGTCGGGGCCCAGATTAACAACGACCACGCTTCCTGCTGCCGTGTCACACAGCAGAAGTGATAAATATGCTACTGAGACACAGCAAACAATAAAGAACAAACAAAAACAGGCCGCGTGTGACTGGCCTCAAGCAGTTGTCCCCTGGGCTCTGCGGTCACCCAACCAACTTCCACGGTGTGGGTAGCCGGGAAGTAACAATCGTCCTCACAATCCGAAATGCACACGAAACCTATCTTGCAGAGAATTGATTAGTCATAGGATTGATCACGAGCAGGCATGAGTTAGAGAACCAGTGGAAAACGTGGGAGTATTGCCAGACAGCTGTTTCTCCCCACTAGTTCAGGACTCCTCAACGGTTTGCATTCAGGACCTTCCCAACACGAAGCAAGCTCGTAGACCACTCAGGCACCGCGACCTGACCCAGTGCCCCATGAATTCCAACTTCTGGTGACTCCCGATACATGTAGCGCAACTGCTAGCCATTGTCATAGGTGATTAACTGATCTCTTACCTGACTTGGTGGACCCCGCTGCTTATTACTTCTTGCTAGAACTCCAGGTAACTTTCCGTATAGGCCTAGCATCAAATGAATTGTCAATTGTTGGTGTGCTGGGCTTTGGTTGGTTACAGGATTGATCACGAGCTGATGAAAAGTCTCAAACTAGGATGAAACTGCTGTCCAATAACTCCCTGATTCTCTAACCCATGTCAGCTCATGATGATGAAATCTTGTGTAATCAAAGATACGTCTTAGATGGATGTCTAAGCGTTATACTCAGTCAGCTGGATAACTCAATTGCGAGTAAAAAAAACAAACCAGTCTTTAAATATAAACAACAATAGGAAGTTGACTTACTTTGAAGGGCAACAATAAAATCACGTTTCAAGAGTGGTTCTAAAAAGTCATTAATTTGACTTTGTTGAAAATGTGAAATTTTCGATAGTAAATGACAGATAAAATCCACTTGATCTCCACTTGACCAACAAGTGAATGTATCAATACAATCTTTTTTTGCCATAGGAAGTGATAAACTAGTATTGGTACTAGTATTATTATTATTATTATGCAAACGTTTCTTCTTTTGATCAACAGGCATACTAGTATTGTCTGATGATGGTTTCGCCCGTTTGATATTTGAAATACAAGTACAATGGACCTAGATAATAAAATATGTATGGAAAGCAAGAGCGATGTATACTTCTGTATTAATAAGTAAAAAAAAGAGAAACAGCACAACCAAAGCTGAAAACACCTCAGAAGTTAAAAGCGAATTACCGTGGAATTGACAACAGGTGTTTTAACATATTCAACACTGAGCTGGTGAAAAAAATTGGGCAAAGTTAAGCTTTAAGCCCCCCCCCCCTAAATACCAATCAGCGAATGATCTCGAGCACACCAATCACGTGAAGGAGACATTTTTGTCTATGGAAAGCATGAAAACTGTATAAAAGAGTTACAAAGGATACCTTCCTCTCATAGGTGATAAAAATAACTCTCAGTTATAGGTTGGAGTATCAGCAGAGTATAATTCCATTGTGGGTAAAATTTATTTTGATAGAGTTTCATAGTGTTATAAAGTAATATTTACTGAGAAATTAATTGTACTCGAAACGCCGTCATTACTAAATATTACTGTATAACACTGACACTTTATCAAAATAAATTTTACCTACAATGGAATTATACTCCACCACAGTGCACAAGTTCTATTCTTGTATCAACAGGGTAATTTAACCACATTCTATGAATGTAATAATTTAGGTCTTTTAATAATAACAATAACCCTAATCTTCCCTGAGAGTATCCCTAAATTAACCGCAATCCAACTCGAACCAACCCTAATGTCGCTTTTATTAGGTTAACCTACCCCTAACTTATCCCTGGCTTAAAGCGTAACTTAATCTTTCCCAAACCTAAGCTGGAACTTGCCAGATATCCAATTTAACAGCATAACATCTCGATGGGCATATTTTATTGATGATGACATTATTTACCAGATTCCAATAACTTGTTCCGTGAGCGTTTCAAGTTCATTGGTGCGATCGTACTCCATTGGTAGTTACTGGTGCTTAAAGTTTAACTTGGTCGTAAATTGATTGAACCACGAGGCAATCTTAAAAAATTTGGTTGTGGAATCTTCGGTTGTAGGATACACAAGGTATAGATGGACACTTCAATCTTAATTGTAATAGAATATTGGTTTTATTCCTTTACGTACCCAGTGGAACATAGGGTTTCGAGCAAAAGATATGGAGTTTCGGTAGTAGTGGTGATTATTTTTACGTGAGGGGGTTGCTAACTTCATGCCTAACCTTTGTCCTTTACCAGTCTTATTACTGGCTAAGCAAGGTAAGTGAGTGCGTCCGTGGCCAGGGATCTAACCCTGGACCACATGAGGCGTGGTTGGCAGGCATTCTACTGCTGTGCCACCGATGCACTAATGGCATATTTATTTATTCAATCTCTTTCACTTAAAATTACTATTTACTATAATGACTACTTATTTTTATTTTTTTTATTTTTGATTACAGCTTGATTCCACACTGTATTTTTGGTACAAGTATGGAATTTTCAGCATGCATATCGGTAGCCCAAATTTTGCAGGCCGACCATAGATATCAGGTGTGCGTCGGCAGGGGATCGAACCTTGGACCATGTGCATGGTCGGCGAGAGTCCTACCCACTGTGCCACTGGGGGGGGACTACTTCTGTTAATAAATTACTTCTATTCCCATATTTTTCCTTCCCTCGTTTTTCAACTGAAGTAAAGAAAGTGAAGTGTGCTACTTAGTAAAAAAAATCAAACAATAGGTTTTTAGGGAATTCTTGTTTCCTGGACAATTTGGAAGATCACTTCTAAAGACAAACTGAATGACTGGTTTCAACAGAGCACTTTGCCCAGAGAAGTGCACCAGTTCGAGTTGTCATACACACATACTCCACTTACCACAGTAAGGAAAAGATTCGAAAGGACGTTGGTAAGCGGAAATGTGGGGGAGAAAGAAAGAATGGAAACACGCAAAAGCTTTAGAGTTCTAATGGCTTAAATTGACTGTTGTGGATTTCAAAGACGTTATTTTTTTCGTCTGACCATCACTAGCTCTTTTTCACACCTGATCCTATGTCAGCTAACATTGACCGTTGAGAGAAGCGATTACTGGGCACACGTAACACATGTCCTAGCTATTTGAATCCATGTAACTTCGCAGCCTCGTAGCCTCGTAGATTGATTTTCCATTCTTACCTAACACTCGACGCCTAACCCCAGTATTACTCACCCTACTATACTACCTAACATGGGAGATACAAAGCAGACACCTATGTTAGCTGACATAAGAACAAGGTGGACAAAAGCTAGTGGTGGTCAAACCATAACATGGCTTTATCAGTCATTGAAATCCACAACAGTTATTTGAAGCCAGCAGTCAGCCAGTCACGTAGAGAGATGTAGACTTCATAGTTGGTTGGGATCCTCGGGGTGCTAAGAACCAATGAAGGCTAGAGACAATGGCTCAAATCGTTGTCGATGGCTGGCGCAGATGCATCCACTCTTTGTGATTTGTCATATCCGAATAAAATTCTATTGTTCTTCTACATTACTACTCTATTTACCTCATATTTCTGTTTATTATCTCTCTTTATTCTTTTGCTTTGTGTGCTACATGGAGTGTGGTAACTGGAACTGCTGCACTTCTGTGCAAAGTTCTACGTTGAAACCAATCAGTCATGATCAAAGGCAGCTAGCCTTTTCATACCTTCATTTACAATGAGTATGCCTCACTCACAGCCATAAAGGAGGACGGAGAGAACTGCTGAATAGTAGCATACGTCCTCTTATCGATAGCTAGCTGGATATCACGTCTAAGCCAGAGATGATGCTAGTTGGCAAATATCACATGAGCCTTTTGTATCCGTGCTGAACTTTTGAAGAAAAGTATTTCACTCAAAACATCATTTTGAAGAAATATATTTTATTCGAAATGCTCAGCGAAAAGAACAAACACAGTGTTATTTTTGTTCTGGAAACGACAGAAAGTGAAGACGGACGACTGAAAACTGTAAGACAGTTTATAATACTATTGGGCAAATACGTTACTTTTGTAACTTTCAATTTGTACAGTGAAGTTACATTAACTTATTTATTTAAAACGCAAAATTGGTGATGCAGTATAAGCATCAAAGTATGCGCCACACAATGTAGTCTGATCTGAAAATGAACACAGACGACAAACGATGATCTATCTATAACTCCTTATGAGCTCAGTGCACTGCCTTCATGTCAGAGGACAAAATTGGTAAGAGAAAAGAGGAGGAAGTTTAAATAATAATGCAGGGAGATGTTAAGAGGTCAAAATAACAATGAGGTGGTAAAGGGAATGCAAATATTGTAGAAAATATTTAACACTTGGACGAAAAGGATGCATCGATGCAACTTTGTCTCATCATCTAAAGTTTCCGGTTCCAATAGACATCTGGTGTGATCATTTATAAACTTGAGAGGGGTGATAAAACATAGCAATACTTAACGCTTGCTTAAAATGCAATGCCCCTTGCAAGAAAGTACGCCTAAACTAAAAGTTACCTCCATAAAAGTGAATTAAAGATGTGCGAACCGATGCCTGTAGTGCAGCAGTAAAATAACACAAAACAGGATTGACCAGGAAAGTTTTTGTTGCTACATTCCCACTAGAAATTATGCGATTTCTTAAATATCTAAAGAGCGATTCTTATTTTTCAGTGAAAATCTATCCACTGGCGATGATAGTAAGTGAAAAATGCTTTCTACTGACACCACTCTTCATTCAGTACATCAGTAATTTTTACATCCAGGATCAAGACTACCTATAACAAGCAATGAACCACACTTATTTGTGTGAGAGGCTGGTGGTACTAACCAATCACCCAAGCTACTGTAAATGATAAAGGATTCGAACATGAAAGTAAACTATTTTAGCCAATGAGTCACACCTCACAATCTGTTTAACATGAGTATGTAACCAAATAATACAAAGTGATGACAGATGCAAAATGAATTTACGTTGTCATACTTCTGAGGAACACGTAAGAGTAGAGGGGGTAGGGGGAATCAAATAGCAATGAACTATATAAGGCGTGGACTAATAAGAAAACACAAAGACATTTAGATTGAAGTGTCCCCTGAGCTGGTTTATGGCAGACTGACAAAATAAAATAAACCAACATAATAACCGACCTCATAAAATGAATGCATCAGGATAGTCGAGAAAATTGTATTTTCCGTAATAATTAAAACCGCAGACAGTAATGACTAAAATGTCACAACTTGTCTACAGAAATACCAGTCTTAAGAGTGCTTAGACCAAATACCAAGGCAGGACAATAACAATAGATACAAGGCTTTTGAAAAATTGAAAACAATTACATACAATTACATAAAACATATAATTAAAACCTTAGAAGATCCATGTATAAAAACTGTACGAATGACACAAAAGTCAACAAATCATCGTTAAAAACACAATGAGAACTACCTCATCAATCATTAAGGCCTTAGGATAAAACATCCATTAGTCGGCCACCAGGTTACCACCTGTAAATTGTCATGGTTGCCCGGTTGCTCACGAAGACGGTGGAGTAGGATTGCAACCTTGTACTACTGATTAGAGTTTAAAGATATCTTCCTACACTGAAATAAGGAGAATTGAAAAGCTGTCTGATCTTATTTTTGGATGGCAGGCACAACCTGGTTAGTGTTCCAGGATAAAATTGTAGTTGCCTAGAGATTAAATTCTCTGCTAAGCTGAGCTTCTCAATACCACATCATTTAGTAATCCACACCAGCATCATAGATTTTGAAGTTTGAGCTTATATGCACACTAGCTAGTGCTGAAACATTTATTTCTTACCATAGACCTCAAAGTCCTACTCATAGCATTTTCAAACAAGCGTACATAGAGAAAACGAAATTAGTACAAAAATTCTCACTCAGTGAAAGAATTTTGTAACCTCCTCCCAAAATCACGCAACCTTAAATGCAAGCGCTAAAATCCAACGACGTTATGAAAACACCATGGAGCATCTAAATGCAATGCGTGAAACAAATTCAATGAAACATGTGTCTCGTAGACTTATTACCAAGGATCCTGAATAACACTAAGTATTCAAGCTTCACTCAAACAGGTTCTCTTCATCTGTCTGTCTGTTTTCGACATAGAACTTTGCACAAATGTGCGGAAGTTCAAGTCGTCACACTCCGTGTAGCACGCGAAGCAAGAGAAGAAAGTATAAGAAAAGCATAATAGAAACTGTGAGCAGAGGGGTGAGACAAAGGAGGAGTAATAACGAAGAACAAAACAGTTTCATTGGAGATCATAAGTCACAAGGAGTGGATTTTATACAGGAATAGAACTCTTAACAGTATAGTGTCTAATCTACTTCATAACCTGTTGAGTGAAGTGACTCAGCTAAGTGAATTCGCTTTAAGGAATGCAAGCCAAACATTTCCGGTGAAGTTAGCAATACACTCCAGAGTAAGAAGTGCTATAGTTGTCACGCTTGTTGGATATCACTAGGAAAATATGTATACTATGGAGAGCAAACTCATGCAGAAAGTAGGACTAAGAAATGTCATCGAAGAATATCAACACACATACCACCAACTTCTAAGGTTCGTTATTGCTAATTTGCACCATGGGTCGATTGATTGTGATACAGATACTAAAACCAGCAATTAAATATTGGGTGGAACCAACACAAAGTGCTGAAAATCCTCCCTGCCACTAATTTACCTTCCTATTTCTAGTTTATTTCACTATAACGCTTTTTGCTTCTTTCCTAATGTTGCGAAAATATGGTAGTTTGAACCGATCCAGCTAAAAACAAGTCTAGAAACTTACGTCTTCCAAGTCTCCAACCAACTAATTTGCTTTTGTATAGTTATCGTCTAATGGCTCTAGTACTCGACTTTCGACCAAAGGGCCTCGTTCAAAACTCGTTAAACCTAATTCAGCATAGCTAGTTGTGTCAAGAGCTACAAAATAGTTGCTCGTGAGTAAGAAGCTAATATTAGAAGAATGTGTAACAGTTTAACTAACACTAGCCCGAAGGACAGGAACTTCAAATAACCCCACATGGTAAATTCACAGTCGGCAAGGAAACTAATGTCATTTAATAGCTTCAGCTAACAACTACCTTCTAATCAACATCCTCTAGGGCAAAGTAAAAACTGTGCAGCAGACACATAATCACCAACGAGCAACAATACTTGATTCCTCGAACTAAATGAGGCGTTTAGCAAACTCATTAGATTTCACGGTAAACAGTCTACATGGATACGTAGTAAATAAAGAATCTGCAACTTATGGGGAGGAACAAATTCATAGCCATTAGTTTTTGTGGCTAACTACACCAATTCTCATTCATGACAGTACCTATTTCAACCACACACTATAGATAATACAAGGTTTATGAAATTCAGAGAATACAATGTTCATCACACTTTCAGGTTCCAATATCCAATATCGTTTTTACGAGCTAGTATAAGCCAATTTGATTTCTTTGTGCTCGATTCTTGATTGTAAGGTATAGGTTCCTGATCTTCGGTAAACTTCTGAGTAGCTTGTCCAGCCACTCGACTGTCATAGCTTTGGTTGACTCCAAAGGGAGTAGTGCTGGGATTAATTATATGTGGTTTGTGGTATGAGGTATGTTAAGACTGTTACTACTGTGATTGGAGTTGATCCTTTCGCCAGTTAGTCCTTCGGTATCGTCGACGAGAGGAAAGAGATACAATAATAATAATAATAATAATAATAATAATAATAATAATAATAGATACAATTAGTGAAATTATTCAGACTAAGAAACAGAAACGGAAATAGGAAAGCGTAACAACAGTCAGCCGAATAGGTCGGAAGAATAATATATATACATATATACATATACATATATATATATATATATATATATCTGTAATAATAATAACAGCAATAGTAATTATAATATTAATAAGTTGTCAGGAGAGTAAGACAGATTACCCTATCTGCGTTTGTAAAACAATCTGATCACGCTGGCCTGAATCGACTATCACAGTTGACTCACTTCATAATAAACACGCCTGGCCTCAACCTAGCGGTTATAATCCTGCATGGACTCTACATACTTATCGGTCCTCAGAAACACACACGAAAGAACAAAATCTAGGATTAGACCTTATCAACCCAGACAATCTTCGGCTATATGACTAGAGAAATTCTCTTGAGATGTAAAACAGGCTTTCGAGACATTGGAAAGTATTGATGCCGTATTTTTGAATTACCCCCAAGAACTCCAAATATAGCCAACAACAAGCGCAAACTTAAGGGTCTAAATACACTGTTAAATTCCACATCATACATGAGAAGACTTGTAAGCAGTGTTGTAATATATTTTTTAAAAATTGCTTACGTCTTCAGATAAATCACGACAGCTATCACAACCCCGATCCGCACAAATATCTCTATGCTGACCAGAGAACATAATCCTAATTAAAGCGCAACTTTTTAGTTGTGCAACTAAACAATGCTCAATATGTTTATGTATTTTCTTGGCACTACCATTCATATAGGCAGAGTTATGCACCAAAAATCCTAGCCTCCCTTAAATTATTGTGAGCTACCTCAATGAATAGTCATCAGGGTATTTCCACCTCGCCAAGTTTGTTAATAAGGCCTAAGCCAATGGTCGAGTGGAGAACCAGCAACCCCACCTCTCAGAACACAACTCCTTCGCTGCTGAAACCTCAAATACAACAAACAAACTTATTTTACACAAAAATTTGGTATGTTAGATGAAGTTTGCCGGTGAAGGCCTTCAAGCAGTCAGTCGACCAATGTGTCCTTCAATAAGGGCAAAAGTAAGCATGGTGATATGGAATGTCCACATCCTGTTTGAAGCTGACAAAACTGCTCATACTGCAAAATAAGTGGGAGGCATGTTGTGGAAGTGCTAAGAATTTGTGAGAGAGGATGGAATGGATACTAGACGGTTGGAGGCAATCAGCAGGGGCCTTGGACCTGAGTTTCGTGCTAGTTGGCACTCGCCAGCAAGACGCGTCTTCAACTTTGAAGGAACCTTTGTCCCTTCTGAGATTCGAACCCGTGTCACTAAGTGCTGCAGTCAGAGACGTCACCGCTGAGCTACTCGTGCTCGCGATTGACCTCCTGTGGAGCTGTATTGGATATTTTTGATTGAACACTAATTACTGACTAGCATCCAGTCAAAGGTGGAGTGGATATTAACTCGCCGGATTGTTAAGTAGAGGGTCGGTAATCCACTCTGGCCACTCAGACGACAACTACGAGAACGTTGAAAGTATTGCTATCATGATGTCACCAACAACATCGAAGGCTCCCACTCAATGAGAAATAATCTCCTCCGGAGTCATGACGGTAAGATTCAACTGTAGTAACGACGGTATCTCTTCTTCTTATTTTCTCCCACTGATATTGGCTGACGTATGCTATCACTAGTCAGTCATCCTAATAACATGTCTTCCCTATGCCAGCCTAGAATCCAGTGTTTGCTACCTCTTCCGCCAAAGTGTTGGTTCTACGTGGTGTGTAGAATAAACATATAGAGCTTCTGAAAAAGGTTTGCTATTTTCCTTAGTGTTATGTTCTGAGGTGCTACAATAGTTTCCAAATAATTTCATCCTTCTTGGAGTTAATATGAAGATCTGGCTACCATATTAGATTTCGTTCAATGATGATGCACATTGCTGAAATTTGGTCCACGCATGACTTGTTTTACGTGCATTCAATCTGGCGAAGTTTTCTATCATTGGGGGGCATCAAGTAGCTGCTCCAGGACTTTGCGGATTAACAATTTTCCAGGAATCAACAGGCTCATGAAACCCCCATTCTCACATAATCTTGGGCTGTCTGACTACGCAGCCCTATTTTCGATCACTGGGTACCTTTCTTTCCTCCTACACCCTATTTAGTGGCGGTGTGAGCGTGTCCACCGAGTTCTTCTAACTCATCTTTAGTAAAAATAATACGATTGCTCCTGTCTATACAAAGACCATCCGTAAAGGCATAGACAGGTTACTATTAACATTACATAAATAAGGTTCAAGATAACGTTGCACCACTGCTTCTGATTTTGACATTACAATCTGGTAACTGATTTGTCAATGTAATACATTAGGAAATATGGAAGTATTGACTTTGTATTAACAAAATCATGGGTTTATAGTGGATGGATTAAAATTTCACGGAGAGAACAAAGCACCAATTTGATTACGTTCCTTTAGGCAATGCATCCTGATACAGGTGGGAATAGTGGGTTAATTGTAATTTCCCCATCTTTACAGTTGAATCTTACCGTCATGACTCCGGAGGAGATTATTTCTCATTGAGTGGGAGCCTTCGATGTTGTTGGTGACATCATGATAGCAATACTTTCAACGTTCTCGTAGTTGTCGTCTGAGTGGCCAGAGTGGATTACCGACCCTCTACTTAACAATCCGGCGAGTTAATATCCACTCCACCTTTGACTGGATGCTAGTCAGTAATTAGTGTTCAATCAAAAATATCCAATACAGCTCCACAGGAGGTCAATCGCGAGCACGAGTAGCTCAGCGGTGACGTCTCTGACTGCAGCACTTAGTAACACGGGTTCGAATCTCAGAAGGGACAAAGGTTCCTTCAAAGTTGAAGACGCGTCTTGCTGGCGAGTGCCAACTAGCACGAAACTCAGGTCCAAGGCCCCTGCTGATTGCCTCCAACCGTCTAGTATCCATTCCATCCTCTCTCACAAATTCTTAGCACTTCCACAACATGCCTCCCACTTATTTTGCAGTATGAGCAGTTTTGTCAGCTTCAAACAGGATGTGGACATTCCATATCACCATGCTTACTTTTGCCCTTATTGAAGGACACATTGGTCGACTGACTGCTTGAAGGCCTTCACCGGCAAACTTCATCTAACATACCAAATTTTTGTGTAAAATAAGTTTGTTTGTTGTATTTGAGGTTTCAGCAGCGAAGGAGTTGTGTTCTGAGAGGTGGGGTTGCTGGTTCTCCACTCGACCATTGGCTTAGGCCTTATTAACAAACTTGGCGAGGTGGAAATACCCTGATGACTATTCATTGAGGTAGCTCACAATAATTTAAGGGAGGCTAGGATTTTTGGTGCATAACTCTGCCTATATGAATGGTAGTGCCAAGAAAATACATAAACATATTGAGCATTGTTTAGTTGCACAACTAAAAAGTTGCGCTTTAATTAGGATTATGTTCTCTGGTCAGCATAGAGATATTTGTGCGGATCGGGGTTGTGATAGCTGTCGTGATTTATCTGAAGACGTAAGCAATTTTTAAAAAATATATTACAACACTGCTTACAAGTCTTCTCATGTATGATGTGGAATTTAACAGTGTATTTAGACCCTTAAGTTTGCGCTTGTTGTTGGCTATATTTGGAGTTCTTGGGGGTAATTCAAAAATACGGCATCAATACTTTCCAATGTCTCGAAAGCCTGTTTTACATCTCAAGAGAATTTCTCTAGTCATATAGCCGAAGATTGTCTGGGTTGATAAGGTCTAATCCTAGATTTTGTTCTTTCGTGTGTGTTTCTGAGGACCGATAAGTATGTAGAGTCCATGCAGGATTATAACCGCTAGGTTGAGGCCAGGCGTGTTTATTATGAAGTGAGTCAACTGTGATAGTCGATTCAGGCCAGCGTGATCAGATTGTTTTACAAACGCAGATAGGGTAATCTGTCTTACTCTCCTGACAACTTATTAATATTATAATTACTATTGCTGTTATTATTATTACAGATATATATATATGTTTTCAGTCACGTCTCGTAAACCGTCAATGCCCAGCTCTTTCTACGCTGGGACTCACGCTGTTCCTTGAAGTTTCTCAGAAACGCTTAATATTAACGGACGCAAATCCAAAACACCGATCGGCCACTCGAGAATTCTTTATTGTAACACCAACTTATAAAAAATGTTTCCACTTAGGTTTCTGACGGTTGACTGCTGAATTCTTTCTGAACAGCGACCGATGAGACGATGACTGTCGTATTGATGCCTCCGCGAAAATTGGGGAAGTCGGTTTTGAGCAAACAACCGCGAATTGATCGTTCAATCTTCAACTGCATTGACACTCCCCGGCAAAAAGGGATCCATCCCTTTTTTTCTTCACGACGAATACACGCTGACTTGGATCCCACTGAGAGAACCTGGGTCACATGGACAGAGCTGAAATGGAAAACAAACAGAAAAGCCAACACACCACAAGCATACTCACAGAACAATCTCACACATCAATGACGACCTGCGCCTTCCAGTTAAAGGCATCCTATTGCAACACAATCGCCACTTACTAGAATGACTCTTGCAGAATGCAACGTGATCATGGCACCACCTCATGATACTCCACGCACGTCCTCGTATCTACTCACTACCAATTACCACTGCAATCGCTTGTCACTCATTCTGCCTCAGTTCTAGTAACGGTGACGCATGCGAGCCTCAGTCGTTTACACTCTTTCTCCCCGGCCTGTCGGACCGCAGCTAACAATTATCTCCGTGTGCATTTCATTCTCAGCAATAGCCTAGCCTCCCCGGCGTATACGACCCATCTGCTGTATATAACATCAATCAATTCACTCACGGATGTAGAAGACTCGAAACAACTTCAGAAGTAATCACGACGAAAATTTTAACAAAATTACGCAATAACAACAAGGTACGAAGACAACAAGTAAACAAAATGAATCCAAAAACCACCAATTGATATGACACACCACACGTATATACAAATAGTACAAACAACCTCGCCGATCATGTCTTGGTGGAATTCCTTTGAAGAATTGCAGGACTTACACCAGTACGCCTGCAACCCTTCACAGGTTGACGATTGTAAGTTGTGGAATGTCCAGACACAAACAAGATTAACCAACAATTACGATAATTGGAACTCACACAACTATTTAACACAAACATATGTACAACCACTACATCAAATGTTGTGGATTCTGGCATGACAGACTACCCTTGAAGAACTGTAGGACTTACAGCAGTACGCCTACAACCCTTCTCAGGTTGATGATCCAAGTGGAAGTCGTCCGGACACAAACAGAATTACCAACAGCTAGATGACAGATGATATCAATTCAGTATATACAATATGAACATATATACAAAATCACACACCGAGCACATTGGACTGCTCATTGATGCGCTACCCTTTGAAGAACTGTAGGACTTACAGCAGTACGCCTACAACCCTTCTCAGGTTGACGCCCTAGGTTGGAAAATCGTTGCAGAGTTCATTTGCTGACTTCCTTCTATCAGCTATATCCTCAAATCTGAACGGCAACACGCCCATGTCATTGTATCGTAGAATATAGATGACTAACAAACACACGACATATCTCATCAACCAAGTGTAGAAACAGAGTAATTTACACCAAAGATAATAACATTCAATTAGTAACTTGAAACTAGAAATGCCTTCATTCATGCAAGTCAATTTAACAATTACTCTCTCCTTTACACTTGGCTTATTCTCACTAAACTGAGCAATATCTTTCGTCTTTTCAAACGCACCAATACTATCATAGTCATTGC